TCTAGGAGAAACAAGGAACTTAATGCATGCTCAATTTGGAAAGGAATAGGGAAGTATTATTTTCACTTTAGTCAGAAGATAGAATATAAGATTGGAGATGGATCCTTTATGAAGTTCTTGAACAACCCATGGTGTGGCGATGTCCCACTTATGGAAACTTTATACATGGCAATTGCTAATAGAGAGGCTCTACTGTTTTGAACTTCAAGAGAGGAGGGAGGATCATATGGAACCTAAGAATTAAAAGAAAACTTTTTCTATATAATAAAAGAATTTTTTATTAAAAAGACAAAAGAGAATACAAAGAAGGTGACCAACAGTAAACCAAGACAAGTAAGAAACAAGACTTTTAAGTTAAAATCCTTTTAGTAACTTAATTTCCAGGTCAGAGGAACAGAGAATCCCAGCCAAGGTTGTTTGGGGCAAGAATATGCCTACAAAGGTAGCCCTTTTTGTTTGGACCGTGTACCTTAACAGAATCCTTACTAGGGACAACTTGTAAGGAAAGGTGTGTATTTGGCTTCCACAACTTGTGTCCTTTGCGAAGAAGAGGAATCTGTGAATCATCTACTATTGCATTGCAGATTTTCTGCTGAGGTTTGGTCCAAAATCTGGAAGTAGTTTGAAATTAAAGACTGCTGTCCAGAGTCAATATTGCAGTTTGTACAAGGTTGGAATATTGGAGGACTTTCCAAGAGGGGAAAATTGTCCTGGAACAGTTCCAGCAGCAACTTTTTGGTGCATCTGGCAAGAGAAATGCAAGAATTTTCAAGAATAAGAGCAGCTTTACCGATTCAGTTTTTCAGAAAATTGTGGGCAAAATGTGTTCTTGGTTTTTTGTAAACAAGTTGGTTAAGGATAGAAATTTTAAGTCCTTTTTTGTATATGATAACCTTTTTAAAAACAGGGGAGGGGATATAGGACTGCAGGGGCAGTGTTTGTAAATCCCTGTGTACAGCAGCTTGTTGTAAAAAAAGGAACAGCCCCAATCCCCCAAAAAATAACACAAGAAAAACCCGCCAAAGAGCAAACAATATAGTATGTGTTTGGTTCCGTTTATGTTTATTGAATAAACGTTTGTACTTTATTTGCTGGTAAAACCAAGAAATGCAATAATTGCAACCGTTTATGACAACTAGGCGCCACTTCAGCATAATAGTGAATAAACACCTGGCCATTTGTGGAAGCTTCAAATAATAACTTCTACAAACGGTTGGCATGCACATAAACCAAAGTTTACTTTTTAGATTTTCGATGTATGCAGAAGAACAAGAGAGAGAAAATGCTGAGATGGTGCCTATGTGGCACCATCAATAAACGTTTACTGAATAAACGTAAACGGAACCAAACATCCACATAACCAAAAACAAAACAGCATCCAACCCCCAAAAATCTGATCAGAACACAAGTAAAACCCTTCACAAAATTACAGAAACTGATTCCACTCTCCAAGAGATGGGAGAAATCAGGTTTATTCATGTCTTAGTCTTTCTATAAGGAACTGATTAGACAGCTGCCAAATGGTTTCCCATGATCAAAGATACAATAGGGAGTAGCCCATCCCCCCCTCCAAAAAAAAAAAAAAGTTTTATCAAAGAAGAAAAAGGTTACAAACAAGGTGACAAGCTATCACCCACAATAAAGAGAAAAACTCAAAGCCCACAACACCAGAACCCTCCAAGACCCCTTAGAATACAGTTTTTCATTCTCAACCCTTAAGAAATTAAAAACTTTTCTACTATGAACCATAAATAGTTGAACCCAGTACAGCTTACCCCCTACACCTTTGTGTCAAAATTTGACCCTAAAAGCAACCTTTCATTGCTCATGACTCCCCATTACAACTTTCCTCACTCAAAGAATCTTTTTTTTCAACTCCCAAAACATTTTTCTTGCAAACTCATCCATTCCTTTAACAGATACCCCAATAATTTGTTTACTTGAACTTTAGTTTCCACTATCCTTTCTAAAACCACCTTTTTTTTATATTTCCCTTGATCAATAACCATCTCCTCACCTTCTTCTTCTCTTCTGATTCTCTTGTTCTATTTCTATCTCAGTCCTTAGCAACGCCTCCTCTTCTAACAATACATCTTTTTGTGTAGCAGAGAATTTCTTCTTCCTCTTAACCTCTCCCCTCACCAATTCTATGTCACTACTGCTTCTAATAAGGTTTTGATTTCTATTTCTGTTCTTTACCCTCTTCCTCTTGTAAGTCCTTTTGTACTTGTTACTACAAGGACCAACCCCATAAAGACCTTCCTTCAGCCTATGTAAATACTCTGGTAATGTGGACTAAATGACCACTATTTGGACCCTTTGGTTTTTTCACAAATACCACCACACCATCAACATTTTTAGATCTTACTATCGTATTTGTATCCCTTTCCCTCCCTAAATCAACTCCCAGTTTTCCAATAAACACTTGGGAAACCAAACCATTCTCCATCATCTCTGCCTCCCCACATGGACTCTCACATTCCTTGGAGTTTTCAGCTTCATTTTCCCTCATCATCTCAAGTACCTGCTACAATCAGTCAGAAATCGTATCAACTGAGCCAACACCCCATTAAAGGTGGCATTTCTTGAACGGAGCACAGCAATAGGGAAGTGCCTAACAAAAGCTAATGCAGGACAGATATGGATTTACGTTTAGATTAATTGCAATGTGTCATGTGTATAGTTAATGAGGAGACAGCAGACCATCATAGTTTTCAAGGTGTCTAGGCGATTCTGGGCGACACTGGGGCACCTAGTCGCCTAGGCGATAAAAAATTTATAATATAAGAAACTGACTTTTGGCTAGTTTCCTAGTTTTGTATACCATTCAGCATGTATGTTAATTGAAAAAATAGCAATTCCCTTTATTAAAAATGTGGCAAATCATCACATCTAAAAGATAAAAATCTTTTACATATATTAATTTCATTATTTTCAAAATAATACTACTATAATAAGTATTTAATAGAGCAAATTCATATTAATTAGCAGCTAAAGAAGGTTATTAACTTTATATGATAAATATTCAAGATGGAAAGTAAAATAGAAAAAAAAATAAGGATGGAGTTTCTTGTTTTATTTAATTAGAGAGAGAGAATAGAAAAAAAGTACTTTATTATTCTATTCTTTCTTTCCTCTTTCTTTCTTTCTTTCTTTCTTTTTCTCTTCTCAAAGCCCTTTGATCTTTTAAATTTCAATAGTAAAACATTAAAACAAAGTATAATTGATATATGTATATATATATATATATAGCATATAATAAAATGTATTAACACATACATTGATAAGATACAGCAATATAAATGATATTATAAAAGGTGCCCGCCTTGTCATTTTTGTCGCCTAGGTGGGCGCCTAGTCACCTAAAAGGGCTCCTAGTTTCTAAAAGTCAAGGTGTTTGGGCGAGGCGCCCAGCCAAGGGCGCCTAGTCGCCTAGGCAATGCCTTGACAACTATGCAGACCATCTCTTCATTCACTGTGAACTATCCAAAGTTTGGGCAAAGTTTCTTCGAATTCATGGTATGAAATTGTGCTTCCTAATAACAAGTGAAGCTTTTCTTCACAGCTAGAATTTGAGGGGTTTGAACAAAAGGGTAGGTTGTTTGGGGAACAATCACAGTGGTGGTTTTCTGGGAGTTGTGGCCGTGTGGGGGAACGGAATTGCCAGATACTTGAGAAAAGATTAGCACTTTTTCTCTTTTTTTTTTCAGCAGAAAAGAGCTGCACTTAGGAGGAGATAGAAGAGAAGCCAGTAGGTATTTTCTCTTTTCTTGGCTGTAAATCCTTCAGATTCTCAGGAGAATGCCATATAGCATTTTTTTTTATTATAATAGTCCTTTTGAGAGATGTAGTTCACAATAGATACTAATACATGTATACTCTTTGTCTTTCCCATTGTGCCTTTGGTGTTCATGGGTATTAGTGTTTTGTAAATCTGCTTTAGATTCATTACTTTATTTTCTTCAAGAAAAAAGAAAAAAAGAGCACACTTTAGGTGGTACCACTCCACTCAAATTGCTTTCACTAGAAATGCCAACTGAGAAGAACTAGAAGTTGAAGTCTTGTAGAAGGAAGAACAATTAAACAAGCATATGGAACTAGTAAATCAAATTCTGGTATTAGAAGTCGAAGCATCAACGAATACAGCCTCCAAGGGCTCAACAGGGATGGGATCATAAGAATTTCTTGCTCCCTTACCCTCTCCTCGATCCCAATTCCTAATCCAACTCCCTACTGAGAGAAAGATACACAATGTAATACTAATTTGTCTTTTGTGTAAAGGAAGGGCATACCCATCACCAAAGGTGTTCCAAGAATTTAGTTCTATTACCAAAGAGGATATCAATTTAAAGATGGATATCCAAGGAGAAGCTAGCGTTGCTCTAGCATTCAAACTCACACTTCAACCATTTGGCATCAATGATGGATGCTTTTATTAAATGTGTGCCACAATTTGTCTGAACCCAAAGGAAATCTCCAAAGCCATGTATCCAACAACAAATAATTTCTTAGCACCTTGCAGAATTTTTCATGTTTTGACTATTTAGCTCTTGCCTTTTCTTATTTGGAAATTTTCCTTTTTTCCCATTGCCTTGTAGTGTGTTCCTACCCATTGAAGATAACTTTTAATCAACTCATTAAAAGAGGCTAAGGACTCACATGTCTCAAATTTCCCAAGATATTAATTGAGCAATATAACCTGAAAGCTTTCTCTCCTGTGGGTTACCATGTCAGCATACCTATGTTGACAAAAAAGAAGGGGTTGACTGGGTAGATTTGTCAATATTGAATACTTTTCTCAAAATGTTTGAAATGGGTACTTAATAGTTTTAAGACGTGAAGCATGGGGGAAAGAAAACAGGAAAAGATGTAGTTGCTATGATATATGGATTTCACCATGACATAAAAGCAAAATGTAAATGAAAGCTGAACAGATAATAGCATCACCAATGATAAATGCAATCAGTGTGCAGTTGGAAATAGCATGGTTATCTCAGTAGTATAATAATCTTATATCTCATTATGCCAAATTAATAAGTCATACCAAATATGTACTTTTTTTTATCAAACCAAATTTGTACTTTCAGAACATACACTTGATGCATAACATTTTCTAAAAGATGTGTAGTCCTATGTGAGGGCACAGTTGGAGTGTTCTAATTGTTTCTTCTTTCAAAGATTTCTTCTAGTTCTTGCAACAACTTATCTGAATAACTTGAAGCAAACATATATCCTTCTTCAGTTTCCATAGCTCTTGCCACTATTTTATCTAACTTACCATACAACTCCTGATAATGCCACCCAAAATCCACCTTAGGGTCAAATTGTATTGCAGATCCATGAAAGTCCATTATATTTCCACCCTTTGAATCTTTCGTCCACCTCTTCATGATGTATCGGGGTGGGATCAACCTTATATTTTTATGATCAAGCACCTTTAATGCATGACCACATAAAATCCCTACAAATTCAAACTTCTTACAACTACAAGCAACTGCCATATCTGATGAATCAAATGTGACAATGTGTTCACAAGATTTCTCATTTGAGCTAACCTTGTATTTGATCAATGTTCCAACCTCGTCAAAATTGTGGACATCAGAATCCCAACCTTTCAAATACTCTTTCTCAAACATTTCAAATACAGCTGGAGTATATATAGTCCTAGCATTCTTCAACATTTGCACAGGTGTATAAAAATGTTGGGTACTTTCACTCATTTCAGAGTCAGCTTTTAGTTCCTTGTGACGCCAGTCCTCCAATACCTTTTCAAAATGTTTAAGAAAAAATAAGAGATTATCTGCAGTATTTAGATTGTTTCTCAAGGCATCATTCATATTTCCACTCCTCAGAGCACTGTTTATGTCTGCACAAAATATATGCCGTCCATATGCTGAAGCCCATTCTTCTTTTTCTTTAAATAATTTTTCCAACCATGAATTATTCCCAAGATCATATTTTTCAAGCATACTATTCCAGGCTGCTAAGAATTCATCCTCCTCCTCACAATCATATAAGCACTTGCTGAAATCTGTCTCAAAAGATCGTGACCCAGCAAATACAGTACGGAGGTATTTAGCTGAATTTTGATGTACATGCCATACACAGAGTCGACAGCATGCTTTTGGTAACACTAGAGCTATTGCCTTGGAGATTGCCTCACATTTGTCTGACAGAATTGTCCTTGGCTCTTTTCCAGACATTACCATGACAAAAGTCTTAAACAACCATGTGAAGGATTCAACGGTTTCATCATAGAGTAATGCAACACCAAAGATAATAGCTTGCTTATGATGATTTACTCCGACAAATGATGCAAATGGATGACCTTCTTCATTTAATCTATAAGTAGTATCAAAACAAACCACATCACCAAAATGTCCATAGTCTTCCACCATCTTCGCATCTGTCCAAAAAATGTTTGTTATCTTATCATCCATATCAAGTTGCATTGAATGAAAAGAAGATTTATTTTCTAGTTGAGCTTTTTCAAAATATTCCAATATTGCTCCTGCATCTCCTTGTTTCATCATCCTCATCCGTTTGAAAGGTAAATAATTACCACAATCACTGTGAACATGAGAAAGATCTTCAGAACCTTCAGTTTGTCCACTAGTAAATCCTGTGGATGCTTTCAATTGCAACCCAGAACTGTTCACTTTCTTAGGTTGATCAGGATTTAATCTCCTTTGTGACCTTAACAAGTGAGTTTCTTCTGGGCGTGCTACCTTATGGTTGTGACTTGGTTCAAAGTGGGTTATACGATATTTACCATTAGTTTGAAGAACTATAGTAATTCGAGCTAGACAACCAGTTCTCGTTTCTGGGCGGTGATACTTCACCTCTGTACGACGTTTATCATCCATCCGATAACCTTCCGAGGAACAACAAAATGTTCTATCATGTACAACACCATTTCTCCTATGAATTGTATGTCTTCGAACACTAAAGCCCACTTCTCCAGCATATTTATTGTAAAAATTGTATGCATCTTCCACAGACTCAAACTCCATCCCAATTTCCGGCTCACTATCTTTCTTGCCTTTATCTTCCTTGCGGATATTTGACTTGGCTAAGTCATCAGGGACAGGACCGACAGGTAACATATTTTGCTGTGACATTTTTCCAAATCAAAGTCCCACGTATGTTCTGATCAAACATCAAATTCTGTATCCGTTTCCATGTGAACTACATGATATACTGAGGTCTCCTCTAATAATTGAAAGGGAACAATTATGCTTCTGCAAAAAGATGGCTTGGACTTCAGAAAAAAAAAAAAAAAAAACATTAATTTGCAGGATATTTGAGAGAACCAAATGTTTAATACAAACGCAAACACAAAGAACCAGCAAGATCACAATCAACCCAGAGCTGAAGCAAGTTGACATGATTAGATAAAATACTTCATTCTCATTGACATGGATGGTTAGGCGAAAAGAAAATCGAGGGCAACTAAAACCGGAAAATCGTCATTTCGTCCCACAGAAGAAAATCCCCGTGAGAGTATATCGTCATATAGTAATCATTAAGTTTATGTCTAAGTCTAAAATAAAAAAATTCAAACATCAAATGCTAACAAAAAAAATTAATTTGATTCCATGCAAGCATGACTGGAAGATTTACAGAGATAAATGGAACCAATTGAAAAGGAAAACCAACCGGTCCGGAGGCAGCACCCACGGTTGAAATAGTGCAGTTGAGTTCAAGTTGAGCCTGCGAAAAGAGTTGCATAGAAGCTTGAGATCGAATTCAAACCCCTCTCCGGATGCAGTTTTGCCGCTAAAACAGCTTCGGAGAAGAGAGAGACCACTGTGAGAGGACAGGGAGAAAGGAGTAGAGAAGTAGAGAACGACGGTAACTCGGATAACGAGGACGATGGGGGGAAGACGATGACAAGCATTCCGGAGGAGCACTCTGGATCTCCTGACGTTCCAACACCCTACCAACAAATCTGACACCGCACATCTCGTATTGCAGGAAAACCGGATTTGATGCTCATGAAACCGTCCTCATAGCAACTGCAGCCGTGTATTGGAAATATCTTCAAGTAAGCAGATGTTCCTAATGTACGGCTGAAACCGGCTGTGAACGGCGTGAGAAGAGTTTTATGAGGACTGAATCCGAATTCGGATCTGTTCTTCAAAGAGCGCGCACCATTTTTATAGCACATCGCACCCGTACGTTGGGAACATCTTCCCTTCCCATGAATGATAATATTATATACGGACGTACGGCTGCGATGCGTTGTAAGATTGGTGTGAGGCGCGCTTTGTGAGAAGTAAATATGTCAGATTAAATGTTGACAGGGTGTTGGCTGGAAAGTGGAAATCCCAACTCGATGACAAGAACCTCTTCTTATCACGTAATGCATGCGCATAGACTCAATGGGAATGGCAATTTTTCCCATCACTGATGGGGATCCGATTTTTCCGATTCCGTCGGATAGGGATGGGGATTGTTTTGGTGGGGTAGAGACGGGGATTAATAAGAATGTTCCATCGAATTGCAATGGTGATTGAGGTCCCGTCATGTCCCGATCTCAATTATATATTTATTTATTAGCGGGACCCGTGCATCACACAGGATTTGTTAAATGAAAGCTAAATAATAAAAATGATCATTTATTAAAACGCCCCCTATAGTTTTATAAATTTACTAAAATCTATACTATAGTTTGTATTTTACTAAAACACCACTTATAATTTGCAATGTATTTAATTAATCTTCCATTAGATAGTGGAAAATGATAGTATTGATCCTAATGTTCGTTTAAATAAATTTAATCAAAAGAAAATGGACAATCACGGCTATATTTGGTCAATTTTGTTTTTTGTACAAAAAAAATGTTAAGGGTATTTTTGGAATAAAAAATCATGGGCTTAATGGCAAAACAAACACTCCTTAATGAAAGGTTGATTAAGTAAATAAGTTGTAAAATGGGATGTTTTAATAAAATTAAAACTAGAAGGTAGGTTTAAGTAAATATGTAAAACTATAAGGTGTGTTCTAGTAAATGAACCTAATAGAAACACATAAGAGTATATAATTGCTTTATATTTTCAACTTTTTAAATGATTAATAATTATTTATATTTTATATACTACTTTTAGCAAATTTTTAATTCATCAAACTAATGAAACCGACCAACCCAGTGGTCAGTTTTCTAGTATTTTAGGTCGGCTTTGGTTCAAAAAATTCCCAACTCGACCAAGTTGAATCAATTTTGCTTTGGTCATTTGTTAACCGACAAAAATTATATTAATATTTTAATATAATTTTTAATATGGAAAAGTGGGAAATTTCCCATATTTCTTAGTCAAAGATGTTTTATATCATAAATTTAATTTTTCAATAATTGCACTATAATTTTTAAAATTTAAATTTAATTTTTAAGTTTAAATCTTTTGAACCGATTGACCAAATAAAAAAATCGACCAAAACCGGTACAACCTGAATGGGTCAATTTTCCCAAATGGTCAATCAGTTTCAGCTAACCAACTCCCCAACCTGACTAGCTTAATTTGGTTGGCCAAACAGCCTACGACTGAATCGAACCAACTCATGAACACTCATAATTCCAACTAAATTAATAGTCTCATCTCTGATAAATAAAAATAGTTTAATTTCAAATAATTATTGAAACTTTATAGTGAAAATATACAATTATTAAAAATATATTGATAATGAAAAAATATAATAAGTACTAAAATATATTAAATTAGCCAATAAATAGTATAATCTCAAATAATAGTTTAATATCTTATAAATATTAATGGATAAGTTATAACAAAAATACAATAAATACCATAAGTACAACAAACAAAATTTAAAAATTTCAATAAGAGTAGTTTAATCTCCAATAATTATTGAACGTTTTCTATTAAATAATAAAACAAAATAAAATTATACATAATTATTGAAAATGCATCTATCACAAAAACAATAAATAATTAATGAAATACAATAAAAATTAATATTAGTATATATAATTATATAATAAATATATATTAAGAGTTTAAAATTATTATTAATAAATATTAATTTTTATGAAAGTTATTTTCTCAAATTATTAACTGATATAAGTGAAATTAGTTATTTACAATATTATGTAAAATATTAAATTATTATTAAACTTATTTCATTATTAATTTTGTAAAATATTAAATTATTATAATTCCAATGGTATGTTATAATTATTTTTCTACTTTTCATATATTTTTTTAAATTTATTACATAATTTCTTTATTTTAACTCATTTAAAATCTAGTTATGTTAAATATTTTTTATTTAAAATATTTAGTTATTTAAATACCCTAATAATATGTAAAAACTAAAATTTTAAAATATTAATTATTTATTGAGTTTAATAATCCATAAAATTATAATTTATACTATTATTTCAAAATTTCATTATTAATTTTGTAAGATATTAAATTATTATTAATTTCAATATCATGTTATAATTATTTTATACTTTTAAGAATTTTTTTAAATTTATTACATAATTTCGTTATTTTAACTATTTAAAATCTAGTTATGATAGATATCTAGTTATTTAAATTTTTTAAATTTATTACATAATTTCGTTATTTTAACTATTTAAAATCTAGTTATGTTAAATATCTAAATAATAATCCATAAAATTATAATTTATAATATTAATACATAATTTCATTATTAATTTTGTAAGATATTAAATTATTATTAATTTCAATATTATGTTATAATGATTTTTCTACTTTTAAGATTTTTTTTTCAATTTATTACATATTTTCATTATTTTAACTATCTAAAATCTAGTTGTGTTAAATATTTTGTTATTTAAATAATATGTAAAATATTTTGTTATTTGAATTTTTGTTTATTTAAAGCTATTACATATTATTAAATATTATGTTATATAATTATTTAGATATTTATAATAGTTTGTTATTTAAGATATTTATTTATTGAAATATTTAAATAAGAATTTATTTTTTAATGTTATATTTTTATTATTTGAATAGAATTTAAATTTATAATCCGAAAAAACAGAATTTAAATTGTTAATAAATAATTTCGTGATATATTTTGTGAAAATATAAAATTACTTTGTGTTTTTAAAATTATTATATAATTTTGTTAGAATATTTAAGTAATTCTTAAATTTTTTAATCCAAACTTTCCTTAGATAGATATAGATAAAAAGTGGGGGAGAGGATAAATAGGAATTAGAGATAATTTAGGAGAGAAACTCTCTACTAAATTAGAAATAATTTTGGAGATAAATAGGAATTAGAGATAATTTAGAAGATAAATAGTAATTAAAGATAATTTAGGAGAAAGTGGGGGAGGTAGTTTAGGAGAAATTTTAGGAGAAGAGATTATTTTGGTTATTGGGAAATATGGTCCCCGTCGAGGATTCAAGTCTGCCCTGTTGAGGATCGGGGATTCAAGTCTTTGCGGAGAACCCATCCCCGTCGAGGATCGGGGATGGGGGTTAATTTCAGAATTGGGATTGGAGATGGAGAATATGATCCCCGCCCCGAACCTGCCCTGTTGCCATTCCTAAGACTGAACACTTGTTTTGATTTATTTCACTTTTACGGTTTTACCCCTATTGTGTTGAGATGGGATTTTTTTTTTTTTGTAAATTGCAGAATTGAGATATGCGCTTCACATAGCGCGTCACACCAACCGTACAGCCATATCCCACCCTGCATTGGAAACATCTCCCATGTATAATAAGTATAGAAGATGTTCCCGATGTGCTGCTAAGACATGCTGTAAAGTCGGTGTGAGGCACACTCTGTGAGGAGTAGATCCAGACTCTAAATTGCAACCGGCCATGTGGTATGTGCAATGAGAAAGGGAGAGGGGGGTTATCACTTGTCATTGTCAGTGGCTCAAGTTTGGTCGGTTGAGAACCTAGATCCAATCTAATTAGTACATAGTACTTAAGTAGCATGAGGCATGCAATTATAGAGGGGGTGTAGTGGCTCGGGTTTGGTCGATTGACCCGATCACATTGTGGATCTAAACCTGACCATATATATATATATATATATATATATATTAAACAAGAAAGTCTAGAAAATTTCTTCTTTTTCTCCTTTTTTAACTTTTTTAATCCATGTCATTTTTGAAAGGGTATGTTTCTTAAACTACCCTTATGGTTTAGTAAATTGACTAGCACTACCCTTACTATTGCTCAAATTTTTAATTGTACAAAATGTTGAATTTACCCTCCACTATTGCTCAAATTTTTAAAATAAAATCCACCTGATGAAAATAGTAAGACGAGGAAGCCAATTGCATAATCGTAGTTGGAGTTATTCGCAAGAGGCTCGACATACGTTCCTATGTGTAAGCTATGACTCAAACGTCCATGGCACGAACAAGCTCACCTCCTGGCATGATCAAGTCTGGATGTGTGAGGTTTGCGAACAAGCTCTGACAAGCGTCACCTGCAAAGCCGACACAGCTACTCTCTGTGACTGGGTTTCCTGCAACCGAGATATCCACTATATCCAAACCAGGATATCCACTCTGTGTTTCTCAGTGGTGCCTTTTTATGAACTGGTCGCCTTGGCCATGAAATCCAAATTAGAACATACCCAACCAAACCAATCGACCATCTGTATGGGTAAGTAAAAGGATATAGATGAAATGAATTGAGATGTGAAGACATCCTATTTGTGGAATCTGCAAAACCATGGTCATTTTTCGGGTTTCATAAATCCCCACAAAATTAGGGTCCGGATGTAGTAGACGTTAGGTAAGCATAATGAGTGAACACATAATAGCTGTGTGACACATGTCTCAGTTAATGTGCCTTTCATCCAAACGTTTTTGCTCTGTTAGATAGAAATTATTCATTATTTTATTATCTTTGTCAATAATTAAAAATAAAAAACAATGAAAAAAGAAAACATAATGGATAATTTTTGTCTAATGGAAAAAAAATGTTTGGATGAAAGGCACATTAACTAGGACATGTGTCACACAGCTATTACGTGCTCACTCAATGTGCTTACCTAGCGTGCCTACTACATCCGGACCCACAAAATTAGAATATTTGATTT